AGTCCCTACTGGCTGGGAAGCTGGGGTGGGAGCAGGAGGGTGGGGGAGATGCCATGTTTGACATCCTAGCAGAGCAGTGAGCTTTTCTGAAGTGAAAAAAAAAAAATGGTTACCGTGGTTACTATGCAACATACCTTCCTCTCTTCCCAGCTTTGGGCCAGGCAGTGAACTGCTGGGTAATGCTCCTTTCCTGTAGTGCCTTTGAGCAGAGATAAATGTCTTAGATTTGGACCTGAGCAGGTTTTTGGTGTTTTTTTTTTTTTTTTTTCCCCTCTGTGATATATGATAAGCCCATAGCTGGGTAAAGCCCCACAGGAAGCAGGGACTTTGAGTCACTGGGACATCTGGCCACTGACTTTGTGACAATCTAGAAGAGGTCTGTTCTGTTTTTGTTGTTAGCTGCAAGCTGAGTGGTGGAGGACTTGATAGGAAGAGCAGCCTCCATAAGAGATGTAACAAAAAGCTAGTTAGCCACCTGCCTGGGAGTGCCTGGCAGTGCTGTGCCCATCTCTGGGAGAGAGAACAAAAGACTCCTGTGACCATAGAGCACAACACAGTGTTGCAGGACAGGTGACTTTACTGCACTTCTTCTAGATTGCCAACAGCAAGTAGCCTACTGTATTTATCACAAAGAATTCTGTGAAAATGGTTTAGAAATGGCTTTAGAAAACAGTGCCTAACTTTCCCTTTCCAAACTGCTTTCATGTCATTCTTAAAACGTACCTTACCTATCCATGCACTGGTGGCTCAAACCTGTAATCCTAGCTACTCTGGAGGCTGACATCTGAGGATCGTGTTTCAAAGCCAGCCCATTTAGGGAAGTCTATGAGACTCTTGTCTCCAATTAACCATCAAAATGCTGGGAGGAGGAGTGCCTCTAGTGGTAGAACACCAATCTAGAGTGGGAAAAGTCAAGGGAAAACATGAGGCCCTGAGTTCACTGGCTCAAAAAATAAAAGTAAAAAACAACCTCACCTAAATACTGCTTCTCAGTTATTAAAAAATGTATTTCTATGAATTAGAACATTCCTTTGCCAGTATTTGAGGGGTTGGTTTAGAGTGAAGTATGTCTGATTTTGCTTAAGTAATGTTTTGGACAATTTTGACAAAGCGTTGCAACAGTGAACTATAGCACTGGCATTGGGTTTGAACTTGCAAGGAGAGCAACTCTACCACTTTGGGCCAGGCCTCCAGCCCTTGTATTTTTCTTTCTTTCTTTCTTTTTTTAAAATAGGGGCCATAACATGTTAATCAATGTAATTTATCCCCTTTAAAGGGATAATTTAGTTGGACCTTTTTAAATGTTGTTATTTGACATTCTCTTCATTGGTAGTTTTTGCTTATTCATTGTTCTTTTGCGTAGCAAGAAGGTTTGGTTTTACCCGAGACTTGGCGAGGGGGCACCCACAGTGTATCCTGTCCGCTGAATGAGGTAGTGTAATTTCCTTCAGTGCCAGCAGCTCTGCTTTCTCTGCATGTGTGACCTAACTTCTGACTCTTCCTGGAGCTCTCTCAAGTTTGTCTTTTGTCTGAGCCTTTTTTGCTCAGCCTATCTGATGGCATGGAGGCCATCATCTCTTCCTGGCTACTATCTCACATCTCCCAGACTTGTTTCCTTCTGCTCCTTGTTTTCCCATGTCGAGCCTTCTGCTCAACCTGCATTTTCTGTCCACCTGCTGATGTTAACGAGGTATGGGAGTCAATCCCACTATAGAGAAGCGTATTCAAGTGATAAGCAAATAGTTTGATTTCCTAGTGACAGCCCACAATTGACCTCTTTTTTTTGGGTCAGTCATGGGGCTTGAACTCTGGGCCTGGGCGCTGTCCCTGAGCTCTTCAGCTCAAGGGTAGCGCTCTATCACTTGAGCCAAGGCGCCACTTCTGGTTTTCTGTGTGGTTTATTGGAGATAAGAGTCTTATGGACTTTTCCGGCCTGGGCTGGCTTTGAACTGAGATCCTCAGATCTCAGCCTGCTGAGTAGCTAGGATTACAGGTGTGAGCTACTGACACTCGGCTTTCACAATTGACTTTTAAAACTCTAAATCAGTCTGTTATAAAAAGTTAAGCTAACAAACTCCTTTAGTCTGCACTGCTTTCTCTGAAAATACAGGAATCAAGAGAGAAATGATAGGCATTTGCTTACTATGACGATTGTTTTTCCAGTGGCAATTAAAGCTGTTCAAAACACTTCTTAGAGATGATGTTCTCTCTTGGTTTTTGGATAACATAGATAATGTAACTAACTTAGTTTTGTCACATTTAGGAGTTCTGATTGTATTTCCTCTTCCTTTCATGAAACCTTGACTTTAACTGTGCCTGGTTTATAAATATAAGCCTAGGGAGGGGTCCACATTAATCATTTGGCCTAATTAACCTGTCATCTTCTTAGGGTATGAACTTGACCAAATGAACTTGACCTCTTGTAGTTTGGGAGCTGCTAAGTATTATTATTTCCTAACAACTAGTGTAGCAATATAGCTTTTATCAGCTTTCTGCACATCTGCATATGAGGAAGCCACATAGTTACTGTTTTTTAGATCCTGTGACTTCTCTTTTCAAGGACTTACATCCTGCCTAGCTCTTCAGCATATACCGAAAGGTCCAAGGACATGAAAGTCCTTGTTGTGGCACAGTGGATGGCTTCTAAGCCAGTAGGGTTGGAATTCAGTCCTGACTCCTCACTTAGTTGTCCTTCCTTGGACATCCATACTGAAAGCTCAGGGTCCACCTGTGTGATGAGAGCAAGGAAGGCTATGGAGAGGATCAGCTGAGTTCCCTTTCCCCTCTCTCCCCTACATATGGTTTGATACGGAACCTGAGGATGGGGAAGTCAACTCGGGCTTCCTGGAAGATTGAAGGCTTGAGATCTCGATAGCAGGTTAGTTTGCACAGAGACAAAGAACAGCCAGTTGAACAGAGTCAATAGAGATGTCAATAGAGAGCTATGAAGGCACTGAAGATGGGGACGAAGGCAATTCAGTCTAGGCTTGAGATGTGGGAGTGAGGGGTGCTTAGGTGGTGGTGGAGAAAGGGCAGGTCCAGGGGGGCATTTCCAAGGAAGAGTTTCCAGGATTTGGTGTAAGATTGGGGTAGAAGATGTTGCAAGGGTTTAAGCTGAGTGATTACTGTTGAGTTCATTTGTTTTATATCCATGTCAGTTCTAGTGCTTGAAAACTCAGGGCCCGGAAGCTGTCTTTGAGCTTTTGTCTCAAGGCTAGCACTCTACCACTTGATTGACAGCTCCACTTCTGGCACTTGGTGGTTAATTGCTGATAAAGAGTCTCATGGGCTTTCCTGCTTGAGCTGGTTTCAAACTGCAATCCTCAGATCTCAGCTTCCTGAGTAGCTAGGATTATAGGCATGAGCCACTGGCACCTAGCTTCAGTATTCATTCTTAAAATGCCCAAATGGAAAACTTCCTGCAAAGGTCTCTTCTAGGTATTAGGGATTGACCACCAAGCATACAAATTCCTGATTTTTGAAACTTACTTTTCAGGATTAACTACATAAATATTTTTAATATTTTTCAGTAGTTTTACGAAGGAGTTGCCCTTTAACAAAGCAGTTTTTTAGTTCAGTGCATCTTGATCAATGTCACCCTTTTCAACATTCTCACCCACCTCTCCTTATATTAATATTTTAGAGATCTGGAGATGGCATCACATAGCCCATGGTTTTTTTCATGTTATCCAAGAAGAGGAGATGGTGGAGACAACACCTGTTCTATCTCTGTGAAATCACTGGCCAGATTCCCATGTTTCTGAGCTGTAAGGATAAGAGTGAACCTGTGTTTTACAGATGGCTGGAAGTAGTGCTACTTGTGCCTTAGGATTTTGCCTCATATTACCACGCATTTGAAACACCTTGGGCCTGGTTGAGTTACAAAAGGTGTCTTTTGTGTGTTCTGGTTGGATTAAAATCAGATTCATTTAACAAGCAGGAGGAAGTAATTAGGTTGAACGAGACTCATGGCTTTTTCTCCAGTGACTTTTGTCAGTTTAGCTTCGAAATAGTTTTATGACACTTTTCCTTTTCAGTTTGAGTTTTCTAAGGTGAAAAAACATGTTTGTACTAGGTAATTCCTTGATGAAAAATATTGCCATAAGAAATAAAGAGGTGTGAAAATTAAAATGTGATTTACTATGTTATTTTGAAAGCTTGGAATGGTAGAACATTATCTATCTAGAATTATGCTGCACTTAGATACTCACTTAATTTGGAAAATTTCCCTTTCTTTTTTTTTTTTATTTTGGGTCCGGTCGTGGGGCCTGAACTCTGGGCCTGGGTATTGTCCCTCAGCTCTTCAGCTCAAGGCTAGCACTCTACCACTTGAGCCACAGCGCCACTTCCGGCTTTTTTCTTATGTGGTGCTAAGGAATCGAACCCAGGGCCTCGAGCATGCAAGGCAAGTGCTCTACCACTGATCCACCTTCCCAGCCCCTCCTTTTCTTTTGTTTATAGATTCTGTTGTATTTCATATCATATTTATGGTCATCACAGTTAATCTGCTTGACAGTAGAGATTGTGTATAATCATCAAGGAAAGAAACAGAGGGGTTTGAAAGTAACAGGACTTGTATGTACTAGCTCCTTGAGAAGCAGAGATCAGGATGATTGAGGCTCAAGGCCAGTTCAGGCAAAAAAATTATAAACCATTCGTCCTAACCAATAAAAAGCTGGATATAGTGGTAAGCAGCAACATGGGAATCATAAATAGGAGGATTGTGGTCCAGAATTGCTAGGCATAAATATAAGACCTTATTCTAAAAATGACAAAAGCAAAAAGAATTGAGAGCATCTCTTAAGTGGTAGAGTGCTTGTTTGGCAAGTACAAGGCCTTGAGTTCAAAACCCTACTACCACCATCACTGAAAAAAGCAAAACAAAATAGTTTAAAATTCTAAGCTGTTTTAACTGTTTTACATCTCAATATCTGGATATGTCAGTTAAAAGATTATATTTCTTTTGTTAAGGCTAATTGAGTGTTTTACCTTTTTCTTAGGTAAGAGTGCAGTTTTAAAGTGTCTCTTGGATATTCACAAGATTTTTCAAGAAAATGACCAAGCTTATATTTTGAACGATCTTTACATCTCAGACTATTGTGTGTGGGTCCAGAAAACCAAGTAAGTTTTGTGTTACTTAGGAATTTCTAGATGCTTACATACTTGCCATACCACTGACCAGAAGGAAGAAAATGAAATAGCTTGGGGAATGCATTTTAATAGGAGAGACACTCATGTAGCTGCCTGACATTTTAGAAATAACTAGATTGACATAGGAGTATGGCAAATTTGTATAGGTAGGGAGTAGATGGTGAAAAGCTAATTTTATCAAAAGAGATTGGCATGGGCGGGCTGAAAAGGTGGCTCAGTGGTAGAGTGCTTGCCTTGTATGCATGAGGCCCTGGGTTTGATTCCTCAGCACCACATAAGTAGAAAAATCCAGAAGTGGTGCTGTGGCTCAAGTGGTAGAGGGCTAGCCTTGAGCTGAAGAGCTTAGGGACAGACAGCGCCCAGTCCCAGAGTTCAGGCCCCATGACTGGCAAAAAGAGAGAGAGAGAGAGAGATTGGCATGAGCACCCTAGGAATTTGTTCCAGTACTCTTACCTCTCTAATATGAAATCTCAAGACCAGGGATCTGAACATGATCTGAGTTTATTATGGAGGAATGTGTGTGTATGAATATACAATCATATTTACATGTGTCAACATCATAGGATGCAAACCTACATCCCATCTAATCCAAATGAGAGCTCTGCATTTCTGTACTAACACCTGACTTACAGAGTCCATACTTCAAAGTATAAAAAGTATACAACCTTCATGGTCTAGTACGGTGGTTTTTGATAAACACTCACTAATGGATTCCAGCACTTGATAGGTTAAAAACTTCAGAAAACATTTGCCATTGTCTCAATCAAGAAACATAATAGGGTATTCACTGAAAATGCAGTGAATTTTTGTTTAGGAAGAAGTTTAGTGGTAGTTGCTTCTTATCAGACATGGTCAAATAAATGATTCATTTCAGTAGAAAGAGACTATTAATTGAAAACTTAAACAGAACTTCCTTTCCCCTCCCTCCCTCCCTCCCTCCCTCCCTGCCTCCCTGCCTCCTTGCCTCCTTCCTTCCTTCCTTCCTTCCTTCCTTCCTTCCTTCCTTCCTTCCTTCCTTCCTTCCTTCCTTCCTTCCTTCCTTCCTTCCTTCCTTCCTTCCTTCCTTCCTTCCTTCCTTCCTTCCTTCCTTCCTTCCTTCCTCTCTGACAGGGTCCTTGCTATGTAGCCCAAGCAGTCCTTGATTTTGCAGTCCTTCTGCTTCAGTCTACTGAGTACTAGGGTTACAGATGTGCCCCCCCGTACCTGGCAAAAAGAGCTCTTCATTGGACTGATCCCTTGGTGCTATAGAAAACAATGACACAATATCACTTGTGAATAACTATGAGATTTTTATTGTTACTGTAATTGGCAAATAAACACTTGTATAGCTTTTAATGCCAGTTTTTTCAATAGAATAACACAGGAACCAATTTGAGGCTTACTCTGCCTGTTATGTGGAAAATGCTCAGGGGTTGGTCGAGATAACGCCTAGTACAGACCACAGGTGGTGTCAGTAGTTGTGTTGGAAAGCTAGATGTTGCCAGATGGAACATGGAATCTTTCACCCTGAGGTCAGAGTGGCATGTCTTTACTTCATTTGATCCCCCTGCTAACTGAGCTTATCAAATACCCTGCTGCCATTTCCTGTGATTACTTCCTCTTATAATAAAATTAAATCGACAGAGTCTATGTGTGGGTGTTTTGTTTTTTTTTCAGATTAGGGATTGGACAGCTGTGTATTGAGTTTGAGGTCTGTGCCAGGATGTCTATTTGTGACAACCCTTGTTAACTACAGGAAGATCACATTGCATGAAAGTAAAGAGAAGGAGGTTCCTAAGCTCATCCAGGGATTTTCAGTTACTTTCTCTTTAAATGTTCTCTCTTTTCCCTGGGGTTTAAGTTGTGGGAAATTAGGCAGAATTCTTAGGTTCTTAGTTAATTGTTCTGATCATGTTAGGTTTGGGGAAGAAGGAATTGTGGGGTAGGGCAGGAGAAGGAAATCAGGAGGAGCTCTTCAAATGACTGAAAAAGCAGTTGCTTCATCTTTACCAATTTGAACATAGCTTTTCTTTCTCTAAGTAGGCCTTGATGTTTTTTACTTTGAGTTTAAATTGAATGATAATCCAGCTATTTTTCTCCTTCTTTGAATTGACACATTTCTCCATTCATCTAATTCTTATTAAAATTCATAATATCCTTTTTTATAACCATAGTGTGAATGGACATTCTATTATCATCTTTCCTGTGAACTTTCTTGGCTATAAATTAACTCTTTTTGAGAGGGTTGGCATGCCTCTAAATCATACTCACTTACTTATGATTCATTGATAGTACGGGGGGGGGGGGGGGGGGTTCCTGTGAAAATTCTATGTATATATACTATGTATTTTGAGCAACTTCACACCCTCTATTATAATTCCTTAATTCCTCCCTTCCCTTTGAAAAACAGTCTTTGTTGTGTGCGTGGTGTGTGTGTGTGTTCACGTGCGTGTGTGTGCATACTTGCCCACACATATGCATGCATGCCAAGCATGGAGCTTGAACTCAGGGTGACAGTGTTCCTGAATGCAAATAACCAGTTTTGCCAGCACCATTTGTTAAAGAGGCTGTCTTTTCTCCAACATATGTTTTGGGCTCCTTTTTCAAATATTAAATGGGTGTAAATACATGAATTTGTTTCTAAGTCTTTGATCTTTGTGTCTGTTTTTGTGCCAGTACCATACTGTTTTTGCTATTATGGTTCCGTGGGATAATTTGAAGTCTGGTATTATTTATGTCATATGGAGAGTTATTATTGGTATTGTTGCTCTGTTTGCGAAAGATTGCTTTGGCTATTTGGGGTCTGTTGTGCTTCCATATGAATTATAGGATTGATTTTTTTCTGTGTTTGTGAAGAATGACATTGAGATTTTGTCAGGGACTGCCGTGAATTAGTAGTGTAACCCAGCTCTAAATTAGCATTAATGCAGTGAATTTCCATGAGTTTTATTACTGATTTTTCCTGATTGTTTTGCCTTCTGGTTTATTTCTTTATATAGTGAACTTATGAAATCTAGCACCTTACTTTTACATTTTAAAGTAATTACGTATTTTTCTTAGTCTATATTTGATTATTTTATTATGGTCATAAAAACTATAAATTTTTATTTCAAATACTAAACAAGTTCACAATTCTAACTTGCACAAAAAATAGCATCTCACTTTCATAGCCATACGTTTACTTTGGAAAAAAAACTTGGGTTGCAAGCAAATCTCATGCTGAATTAATGAAGTTTGAGCATCAGTTACATTAGTTTTTGCCTTAGTATGACTTAGGCTTTTCCCTGTGATGTCTGGCTTGTAGAGTGTGTTTGCAAATTTTAACAGTTCAAGCTCTTGAATTCTTTTTTTGTCAGTTACAGAAAACCTTCATCTCTTGTTGCCTATCACTCTAAGTGACTTTGAAAATGATGAGTGAGAGACCAGTGCAGTGAATTTACCTGGTGGCAGCATGTTAGGAAGTGATTTGCTTGGGATCATGGCTTACAAAAGATAGATCTGGAGCCACAGGTGTGTCTCAGTGGTAGAGCTAGCAAGTTTAAGCCTCTTAGTTCAAACCCTAGCATTGCAGGTTTAAAAAATAAAGGTATGATAGTGTCAGGGCTTCTGATTTTAGATTTCTTATTTTCCTTGATGTCTCCTACAAACCCAGTTGTCTTCACCCATGGAAGGTGGGAGAAAAATGCCCTCTGTCCCCCCAGCTTTCCCCTAGAGGGAAAGGCATGACAGACTGTCATGCATCAGGGATGCTTTCCTGACACTTGGTTGAGAGGTCACAGGATGCATTTCATGTCTGCCTCATACTACAGTGATCTAAGTGCTTGTCACTTTTCCCTTTGAAATTTGAAGGGCATGGAAAGAGCTCCCATTTGGGCCTGTCACAGTTCCTTGTGAGTACAGTTGAATTGAATGGCATCTATTAGAGCTAATTCAAGGAGAATTTTTCATTGTTTAAAAATACTGGAACTCCTTAAAACCAAAAAAAAAAAAAACAAGAAAACAATTTGGAGTTGGGCAGTGATGACATATGCCTGTAGCCCTAGATACTCAGGAGGCCTTCAGTGTAAATCTGAGCTAGTGCCTAACATATCAAATTACTTTTTTTCTCCAGTATACTTTGTAGTGGTTGTTTTGGTTTTTGTTGTGCTGGAGATCAAACCCATGGCCTGACAGTTGCAAGTGCTTTTCCTCTAAACTTCCAACTCATCTAGTATAGTTTTTTGTTTGTTTTTTAAGTAAAAAGGAAGGAAAAGAACAGAATAAGACAAAAACCCTGTCTTTGAAATGCTGCACCTATTTGCATTCTAACTGGTAGTTAATTAGTTAATAATTAACGATAGCTAAATGTAATTCTTGTTACATTTAGCTTTCCACTACCTTTTGCATATTTTTCCCCGGGGGAATCTTACTCTCTGTGCTAAGGTGCAGTATTTGTGGAGACAGCTCTCACTAAACAGTTACATCTCGCTTGAGAAATCTTGGACCTCAGTTTCCTCCATTGTAAGTGAACTTGAGTCATTTCAGCACTGAATTCATGACAGTGAACATTTAAGGCCATATCTCTGTCTGGTTGGTAGCCTGCATATGTGTTTGGTGGGGAGCTAGCCTTCCACTTCTCAGAACTATGTAGGTATACTCATTTCTTGTGGCTCACTCTTGTGATGCATGTATCTTCCTGAAGGCTCTGATCCAGAGGTCCAGCATCAGCCCTGAGTGTACAGGTGGTGTGGTGTGTCCTTCAACATTACTAGGCCCTCTTGTGTGCCAGGTGCTGATGTGGGTGTTAGGAGTATGTTCTCCCAAAGCTGATCCTGCTAGGGAATGCAGATTTAAGCAGAATATCTTGCTATGTCTGGTAGTGGCGACAGAAGGGAAGTACAGTGCTATTGAAGCTTCTAGAACAGCATACAGTAAGTCTTTGAGTTTAGGAGAAGGTTTCTATGGTTTGAATATGGTTTTGTTTCCATTGGAACTGCTAAGTATAGAGAAGT